GTGTGTGTGTGTGTGTGTGTGTGTGTGTGTGTGTGTGTGTGTGTGTACGCACGCGCGCATCCATAGGTCAGTAGGTCAGAGGTCGAAGTCTCACATCTTTGTCATCTTTCTCCATCTTACTTTTTGAGGCAGAGTCTCTCCCTGAACCTGGAGCTCAATGAGCAGCCTAGGTTGATTGGCCAGCACACCTCAGGGATCCTCCTATCTCTGCCTTCCCAGTGTTGGGATTACAGGCAGGGAATGCCAGGCTTGGACTATTTTTCTTCTTAAACATAGGTGTTAGTGAACCAAATACAGGTTGCCATGCTTGAGTGTGGGGTGAGCACTTAATCAAATGAGTCATCTTCCCGGTTTTAGGCATCCTTAATTTTTAGAAGTCCACTAGATGCATCTCTCAGGGATCCAGGTTTGGGAGTCACTGAAGCAGCTGAGAGCTCACATCTTGAACAGCCAGCAGGAGACAGAGAGGGTACTGTGGATGGCAGGAGATTTTTGAAGCCTCGGAACCTACCCTGTGACACACCTCCTTCAATAAGGCCACACATCCTAAACTTTCCCAAATAGTTTCACCAACTTGGGACTAAGTACTCAAACATATAAACCTATGGGGGCCATTCTCATTCAAGGCACCACATACATTTTTATCCCTATTCTGTTTTTGAGAAAGACTGTCAATATGAAGCCCAAGATGGCCTTGAACTTGCAGCATTGAGATTTAAATGTGTGCCACCAAGTCCACCTAGAAACAGCTCATTTAAGATTCTATGAATCACCCACTTGTACCCACTCTGAATTGGAGGTATATTAACAACAGAAACACATTTATTCTGTAAACGAATTCTTCAGGGCACCTGGGTTTTAACTAAGAATAAGGGGAAATTCACTATGCAGTGGTTTCTTTCTTCATTTGACCCAGTTGGTAGATGGTAGGCTGGCTATCCTTCGAATGATGCTGTTCTAAAGCTTGCCTTGGAGAAACAAAGAAAATTCTGTCTATGGAGAGTGTTGGTCCCCCCTCCCCCACCTATTCACTACATTGAACAGGACTGAGTCTTTCAGGCATTCTCAGTCTCCGCACTGGGCCTGAACTTTAGACTTGTTACCACCAGCAGCATTGTCAGATAGTGGGTTTGTCCTTAGGAAAGTCCCTCCAGTCACTGACAATAGGAATGCTCAGACTTTCCCCCTTTTATGTTAAATCACATGTGTTATTAATAGTCATTATAAATTAATCTTCACAAATATGAATATTAATAATAATATTGTAACACAATGATCTTAAGCTGTATAAAATATGCTGTTTTCTCCAGTTGCTGAAGCAAATGTGTTTTATGTGTTTAGTTTTGAGATCAGAATCAGACCCTGTGACATCACTTTTGCAGACTGGTGGACTGATTGCTGCATTGGTTGGTGTGTTAGTTAGGGTTGCTATTGCTGTGAAGAGACACCATGACTATGGCAAGTCTCATAATGGAAAACATTTCATTGAGGCTGGCTTATAGTTTCAGAGGTTTAGTCCATTATCATCATGGTGGGACGTGGTGTTGTGCAGGCAGACATGGTGCTGGAGAAGGAGCTGAGAGTTCACATGTTGATCCTCAGTGACACACTTCTTCCAACAAGGCCACGCCTCCTAATAGTGCCACTTCCTATGGGCCAAGCATCTAAACACAGGAATCTATGGGAAACATTCCTATTCAAACCACCACAGTTGGGTTAAATTTTCAGCCCATGAGATTTTTTTAGACATCACTGGGTGTTGGGTGGCTCCTAAGGGAAACTGAGAGCATGTGTGTGTTGAGCTTTCTTTCTTTGAAGTAAAATTGAAGAAAAATGAAGATGATGGAAATACGGTGTGCTCTGTCTCCGATGGCAGGGCTTGATGAAGAGAGCAATTTGATCTGTCTTTGGTTGGTGTAGCACCTCTGAAGTGCCTGTCTGACCCTTCAGCTGCTACAGAATTTGCCAGGAATGCAGCTTTTTCTTGGTTTTTGTAACAGCTCTCATAAACTAGGTTTTTAAGAGATCATTTTTGGAGTCCTTTTTTGAATTATGATATGATAAGGAGTCTATCCTATGAACTCAGGCCGTGAGATATTTCTGGATATGGAAAGGTTTTATATGCTTGTTTGATAACTAGTGGAGACTTGCAAAGCACATGTCTAGACTTTGGGATGTCTGTAATGAAAATAATAACTTTTTAGTTTCGGGGTTTTGCTGTTATTCCTCTTTGAAACCCCCTTTCCTTATCTGTTTTTACCACAGAAGTCTTTTCTGCACTGTGGACATTTGGAGTAATATGGAAAGTTTGGACTAGTTTTAACTTTTCCCCTGAGCAGAGGCACTTAATTTAGTGATAGATTGATTGCAATATGGTCTCTTGTTGGAGCCCAAGCTGGCTTAGAACTCACTATGATACCTAGGTTGGCCTCAAATCCCCAAGTCTCATTTCTCACCCCTCCCCCTACAAAGTTAGGATTATAGGCATGTACTAGCAAGCTCAGTCAAGTCACTTAAGTTTTTAAACTGCCTCATTTGTGAAGGAGGAATTACGCCTGTCCCTACCACCCCTCTGAAAACAACGAAAACCTGAGGGTTATAGAAAAACCAGAGGAGCAACCCAAGCAAAACACAAGGAGCAAACTGACACCTTTGCACCCAACACACAGAAACATTTATATGTTTTGTAGCATAAGATATAGAAGAGGCCTCATTTTCTTGAGCCCAATATATGGGAAAGACTGGGGTTCCTTTGTTGTTTGTTTTGCTTTTGTTCTTTGAAAAACAATTGTTCCCTTAAGTTTGGATGCAATGTATTAGAATATCATGCTTAAGTTGTATGTTCATAATTAACTGTCTTCATTTTCAGGACACTGGGTTATTCTGAAAGTCACTCAGGAGCAAAACAGCAGCTTAAAAAGACATTAGAATATCAAGCTTATTGCATAAAAACCTCTAGAGGAGTAAATAAGCAACAACAAAACTGTTATTTTGATTTTTCTTGGGAAAATAAATCCTGGGACACTTTGAATTCTAACTAGTGGCTCAAGAATGTTTAACTGGTCTATTAAAAATGTTGATAAACACTGTAATTTTCCAGATGGTATTAGCTTGTTTGGGATCTTACAATGAGCTCCACAGTCACTCCATAAATTAGAAACACACACTTGATAGCAACAGATTTCTCTTTATGGTGGCTAATCCACGTCTGGGATATGGCTATATAATTTTAATGCATTGGTGGGGTATGCTTTCCCCAAAGCCGCCTTCCACGAATCATATCTTTTTGAAGTTCGTAGATGTTTACAGTCCCTTCTTCATTAAGATAACTTGTATTTCCCATACCAGGTTTGAAATGCCTGACAAACAGTTTGGACACAGAGCACAGTGAGTCAGGTTGAAGATAGCTGAGCCACATAGCCTGGACTCTGCTAATGGAGTAGAAGTAAAAGAACTTCCTACCCAGCACTGCTGCTGTGTGGCTTCCCTTCCGGTTTGACTTCCCCTAGGCAGAGGAACATAGTCCAGGGTTCACAGCTTACAGAAAGTCATTGGTGTCCCATTGCTCTGGGTTTCTGAAGATCAGAATACTAACTGGCCCATTGTGGTAGCTGCCACTCTGGGTGATATTTATTAATTTACTTGTTTGCCACTAGAATCTGAGGTCCTTGAACTATAACTATAAGCTATAGTTCTCTATCTTTCTCCATGTCTTTCTTTTGCCTCTTTGCCTTTCTCTGTGTCTCTCTGTCTCTGTGTCTTCCCACCCCCTCTCTTCCCCTCCCCCCTCTCTCTTCTCCTATTTGTCTGCCTGACTGACTTCTCCCTCTGTCTCTCTCTCTCTGTCTGTCTCTCTCTCCCTCTCCCCCCCTCTCTCTGTATGTGCACTCACAAGTGCCTGTTTGAAGTGCTAGGAATTAAATCCAAGGCCCTAAATATGTGTTAGGCGAGTACTCTATAAGTGACCTGTATCATCAGACATTGGCATTTTGAGCTGGAGTCTTGCCAAGTAGCTTGGGGCCTTGAACTCCTATGTGACCCAGGCTTTCCTTGAATTTTCAACCCTCCTTCTTTGGTTCTTCCGGTATGCCTATACATCCTCTAGAATCTATGTCTTGACTGGTATTTATTTCTGGTAAGTAGGTTAGAGTTTTATGCTTAGATATTCAATAAATGTTTGGATGGCCAAGTGAAGGAATGAATGGTCTTCACAGTGCTTACCTGACAAGTCTGTAGCCATCTTTTGATAGTACCTTCTAAAAACTCCTTCTGTTGGGGGTTTTATGCTGGGTTCCTCCATGTCTTATGTCTTTTGCTGCCAAGATTCAAGACCTAAGGTTTGACTCAACCATTAGTGTTCTCAGACTCAGCTCATAAAAATGTGTGCCTAATCTGCTGTGGATGTGGTGGCCCCACCCTCCTGTTGTGGTTAGACCCAGTAGTTAGAAGTTAGAGTGAGCAGGGCAGTGGACAGGTTGTGGAAGATGGCCATTAGAAGGCTGAAGTTATGCTGTGGAGAAAAAAGGTGGGTGGAAATTATACAAGCGACAGGAAGACATACTAAACAGAAAGAAGGCAGAGGTGGAAGGCAGCCATAAGGGTGGTAACTTTTGGATGTCTCAGAGCTACTGTTGGTCCCAAAGTTCCTGCTGATTGCTGCTTCTCCAAACCAAATAGCATGATGCTTGTATATGTATTCGTGTCTTTGTACCAAAGTCCTGTTCTTATTTTTGTAGTCCTAGGGACTGAGTATTGGGCCATGCACATACTAGACAATTGCTCTATCACTGAGTGACATCGTCAGCTCTCTTTTGAACTTTTTGCTTTCACATTTATTCATGTGTGTGTGTGTGTGTGTGTGTGTGTGTGTGTGTGTGTGTGAGTCATACCCAGATGTGGAGGACAGAGGAATTTTCAGTTGCTTTGCTCAGTCATTTTCCACCTTATTTCATTGAGACAGGACTTCTCACTGAATCAACATCCAGGCTGGTGGCTGGCTAGCAAGCCCTAGTGCTTCTTACCCTGTCTCTGGTTCTAACGGCACCGGGGTAACAGATGATTGCAGCCTAGCTTTTTATGTCGGTACCAGGATCCAAAATTAGATCCTCATGCCTACACAGCAAGTGCTCTGATCCTTTTTTATAGAGAAAACTCCACACCAAGTTGCTTGAATTGGTCTTAAACTTGTGATTCTCTACCTTATCCTCCCAAGTAGCTGGGCTTATAGTCCTGTGCCATCAGGTCTGTACCATCAAGCCTAGCTTAAACATTGTTATTCGAGATAACCTGTGCATGGCAGATTATTAGGCAAAGGAATTTCAAATCCTATTTTCATCAGTCTGGAAGCAGATAGTTGAATTTGTTTGAAGAGAAAGAGAGTTTGATTTAGCTTTGTACATATAGACACCCCTACACACACACACACACACACACACACACACACACACACACACACACACACACAATGAACCAGATCTTCTAGTGGAGGCTTCTCAGTGTTGTCCTACATGACAATCATGAGGTGGGGGGTGATAGTATGTAGAGGTGGTGGGAGACGTGGTTGGCTCTTTGTAACAAGCTGTGCAAAGGAAATGTGTGAATCGTTGATCTCTGGCAACACAGAAGTAAAGTCAGTGGCCTAGAAATCTCTGGAGCAGATGTGGTCAGTCACAAAGCTTGCTCACAGGGGAATGATTCATGCCCAAGCACTTCTGCTCTAAAACAAGCTGCTCAGTTTCTCCGAATGGGAGAGGTGGCTCTTTCACTCCCTATGTAATTCGACGTGTCACGTAATGTGCCTATAGAAACATATTCACAGGATCTTTTAAAACAAATAGTTTGTCAAAATACTAGGAATTTTGGCCCCATGCTGTAACCAAGATTATTAAAAGAAAACAAAGGACTCAAGGCACATCCAGACTTGCAGAAGAGAAATTATTGAGACACAAGGAAATAGTGATAAATCATTGATTTCTTAACCTCCCTGCATCATTAAGAAAATTATTCTAAAGACAGCTCATAGGCAAGCCTACACATTCCCTTCTCCCCAGGCAAGGCTGACATTGCATCATAGCGATCTGGTCCTTCTATAGGATTACTTTTCTCTTTTTAAGGAAAATGTTCTTTCAAATACTCTAGAACACACCTATCCCTCTTCCCGGGCAACTAGAAACCTTCTGATCTTTCTAGAACAACTTGCAGGCCAGATTTATCTGTATGCTCCATTTAATACCAACATCTGCCCCTGTGATAGCAAGGTTGTTTCCAAGCAAAGTACCCTGAAACAGTGCTGATCATCCAGTTATCATTGGCAGGGTGCTGACCTAGAAAGCCTGATTGGTTCCTGCTTGACTTTGCCATAAAGTTACAAGCACATTATTGACATTGATTCAGGAAAAGAAAAACAAACTGAAAGTGATGTAAGCAATTTGCAAGTTGAGTTTCTCTACAATAGTCCTTCTTACTATTTTAAAAAAGATGGGAGAAGAAAATAATTTATATATAGCAAGTCATAGAAATTACTTTTGAACAGAATTTATATTTTCTACAATTATAAAGGTATTTTAACCACAAAGAAAGTGGATAGCATTAACACAGTTTTATAAGTAGAAACCTCTTTTTATTTCTGTTCAGTCTTTAAAAGTAGCCCGTTAGAAGACATCCCATACCATGCATGTTACACCATCTGTGCCCATGCATTTCTGCTCAAAACATTCTATGTGTAACCTGATATGGATACAGTATAGTGCATGATCTATATGATCTCAACAGTGGCTAAATTAAGCATACCATTTTACAACTTGTTCTTTTCCTTTTAAAATGTAACTTAGGTATCTTTCATAGTGAGAAAGATGTAATTTACTCTTTTAAATAACTATACAGTAAATTATAGTGTAAATATCTATAACGAATTGTGTTGATTCTCCATCCATTTTTCATATGTTTGCTTTCTCTTTTATTACACATAATGCTTCATGGGGTATTCTTATACATAAAGCTTTATTCATCCATGAAAGTCTGCTTGTACAGTGGATTGTAAGTAACCAAGTGTTGGATCAAAAGATACACGATTCTAAATTCTGTGTCTAGCAGAGTTTAGATATCCTTCCACTTTCAGTTATCACCACCCAGATGTGTTGAGCTAATTTCCAGTGAGCTAATTAACTATGAGTTTAATCTTTTCATTTTCATGGTTCTTGTAAGACCTTGCAGACTGGCTTGAATGCATAGATATTTCTAATACTTCTATAAGATTAATAAAGAGATTTGTAACCGTCCTCAGCAGTGATGGCTAAATCTTTGTTCTTCTACAGTGGGTTATCTCTCACATGTCAAGTGAAGTTGGAGCAGCTGTTGGGTATTTGGGGAATCAGGCTTAGGGAATCTGAAAGGAGAATACATAAAAATCTTCCAGGCTAACCCCTGAGGTAGACATAGGGATTCACCATCAAAGACACTGATCAAAACTATAAAATTAAAATAAAAAGTTGGTAGAATATAAAATTAAGGCAATAAAGATGACCAGTAAAATATAGAGGTGTTTTGTTAAAAAGAAGTGAATTGTAAAACAAACAAAATCAGCTCATTCCAAAAGTAGTAATATATTTTAGATAAAAAGACATAATATATTTTAGATAAAAAGTCTTAAACAGGGTCCTGGATTATTGTCTGATAACCTTCCTTCCTTCCTCTCTCTCTCTCTCTCTCTCTCTCTCTCTCTCTCTCTCTCTCTCTCTTTCCTTCCTTCTTTCCTTCCCTCTCTCCCTCCCTTCTTTCTTTCTTCTTTCTCATGATCATCCTGCATCGGCCTCCTTCAGCAAATCCTACTGACATGCACCACCACAACCAGTTTAATAACAAGTCATATAAATACATTGAAACATTGAAAGCGATCGAGTTTCTTGTCGATTTGTCAGGAAATACTGTCAGGGCAACAATAACACAACACTCATGTAACAGGATGTCAGCAACAACTGCACAATAGGGCCATCAATCCAAAGTCCTTTGACATTGGAGAGTCCCGACTGTACAAGGTCTGAAGTTTTGTGAAATGTGACATCATGTGGGAAAATGTACTGTCAGAGGTTTCTATGAATTTATCGGCTATTCTAGAAAATTATAAGGCATATCATTGACTTGTGAAAGAAAAGTTTTCCAAACTATGAGAAGCAAAATCATGATGTAAGCCAGAGAAAAATGACTTTGGTTTCTGTTCTGCCTATATAAAATTGTCATATAAGATCGTGATAATCAGGAGGTATGCTACCAAAGACATAGAGAAAAGACTGTAGAGATTATATTCACATATTATGGTGTGTTATTATAAGTATGTTATTTTTCTGCATTTTTGCAAAGTGTTTGGGATATTTGTCATCTTTAAAAGTTTATAATTCAATATACTTATTACCAATCTAAATAACGATTCATGATAAAATGATAAAACTTAATCTTGCACCTCTTTTAAAAAAACAAGTCTCTAAAATTGCATGAGCTTCAGGCACAGAAGTCAGGTCCAGGCCCTAGTGAGTTTATGAGGGTGCCTCTTCACACATGTTCTTGCCAACTCTGGGCAGTAGTAAAATATTTTCTCTGCATGCCAATCTGATAGTGCGTGGCATATCTTAGTTGTTTTAATTTATATTTCTTTAATTAGGAATCAAGCTGAACATTTTTCATGTGATTATTTTCTGTAGCTCTTCCTCTCATTATCCTTGCCTATCGGTTACACACACACACACACACACACACACACACACACACACACACACAAAATTTATCTGTGGCAGTCTGGTTAACAGCATTTATTTTTCTGCCTGTGAATTGCCTTTGGAATATTATCCTGAATCATTTATTATTCATTTCATATTGACTATGATATCTTTCTCTCCTTTAAAAACAAAACTTTTATTAAATGTACAAATTCACACACAGGTTTTTGCTTGTTTCTTTGGTTTTGAGTCAGATTCTAGCTGTGGTGCTCAGGGTAGTTTTGGACCCCTCCTGCCTCAACTTCCTCAGTGATGGGGTAATAGGCATGTGCCATCATACCTGGTCATGACTGGATTTTTGAAAAAAACTAAAATATTTACATAAAGTAGATTGGTGCTTAGTGAGACTTGACTCCATTACCTAACTTTAAAAATATAAATATAATTTTAGAAACATGAAAAATCTAAACACTCTGACTCACTATCTCCAAGTTAGAGGATAGTAAAATACTTTTAAAAATATTGCTTTAGCTATTTTCTCCTTCTCTTTTTATTACAGAATCATTCCATTCTGTACTTGGAACAGGTGAGGAAATAGGGCCAATCTACAAGACTGGCATTTTTAATGCCAGAAAAGACACAATAAGAATAAATAAACTACCCCTGCTGATGTCCTGGGAGGACTTGCCCTGTTCTTATTGTCCTGGTTTGTCATGTTCTAGGCACATAGTGCTGGGTGCATCTTGATGAATAATTGATGCCATCCACTAAAGGTAACACATGGAAATACATTTGCTTCACTCAACAGCTTTAGTCA